ATGGCGTCAGTGCAGAAATCTATTCTTGGGGATTTGCAAGTAAACGACATTAAGAAAGAGCTTGAGAAGAGAAATCTTGACAAAACAGGAGTAAAATCAGTACTCATTGAGAGGCTTAAAAAGGTAGAATATTTGAAGGTTGCACTTTTGCTGTGTGCTTTAATCATTTAATTGCGGCATTCACAGGTCAGATGTCAGATGTCAGTACTCAATGCATGTTTGTTGCAGTTGATGACTTGATGATGTGTCGGCCTGGGGGGAGAGGAGACACTCAGAGAACCACCAGCCATTGCTGTTGAATTCTCAACTTGCATTCTGCATTCTTCTCTCTCTCTCTCTCTCTCTCTCTCTCTCTCTCTCTCTCTCTCTCTCTCTCTCTCTCTCTCTCTCTCTGTCTCTCTCTCTTGTATACACTAGCTACTTCAGTAAAATTTTTAAAATTCCCTCTACACCAATAAAACCAGCACAGATAGCTGTAAACAATCTCTTTCCAATGGTACCTCATTTAGGCTTGTATGTCAATGTCATTTCTGAGCTGAGATATGTAGGTTTTTGTGGAGATGAGATGTAAGAAACAGCCGCTAAAACTAAAACTTGTGACCCAGAAACAAGAAGTTTTTCTCTGCGCAACCTACTGCGCAGTTCTGTATCGGCTTTGTTAACATTGGACAAGATGGCAGGCAATGAGACTCAGCTCACTCAGCCGCATGTGATTGCCTAAAAAATGTCACTGTACATCTACCTAGCCACGTACCAGAAAGAAATTTTATACACAAATGTAAAATTGGACGGAGAATTCAGTTATAACTAGCATTACCAGGTACAGTAACAGTTAAAGCCTAAAGCCAACCTCGAATTTACCGCTATTTTCAATCAAACTGATGACTAACAGAAAAACAGGACGTCCGGCTGTCGTAGACATGCGCTGTTAATCGAGTTCCTTCCCGCCGTTTTCAGCTATTTAGAGTGGGTGAAAACCACACCAATCGCAAAATTTCATGAGCGATTAGGACTCATCCCGAAACCCCAGCCGACATTTCCGAAACAAGTTTCAAACGGTTTCTATGGTAACGGAAATTGTCGAAAAGATCGCAAATTTCCGAAACTGTAGTCGCTATATACACTGTTTTTTAAACATAACCAGATTTCTGTTGGCCCATCCTTTGATTTTTTATATGCTCTCGCCATGTCTTTGCTTGGCCTGCCCTGCCCTATGCTCCACTACAGTAGTAATTTGAGTAATTCTATTTGTTCCTGCATTCAGCAGCTCTTGAGGTTCGCACCTGCATAATCATCACAAGCATCCATTCCTCACTGTGTTTGACCTTCACTTCCCAGTTGGTGACCACAAATATTGATAGTTATTGAAACGATGATGTCCTGTTCAAATATATAATTATATAGTTTTTTTTTCGGCTATCCTCCAAATAACGGGCACATATTATGGCGGCCCCAAAATACCCTAACAGAGACTCAGTCATGTGTCATTTGCTCACTTCCGGCAACCTAATTTGCGGTTTTCCGGCTACCACCGCCGAGAGTATCCCCCACGCCGCATGGATTGAGGCTAATATTGATAGCTGGGACTCACGAGCAGCAGCTTCCGCATCTCCTGCAGTTTTGCTCGTGAGTCCCAGCCATCTAGTTTAGCCCCAAACCACGTCGCGTGATCGACGTGGGTGATACTCGTGGCGGTAGTCGCCGGAAAACTACAAATTAGGTCGCCGGAAGTGTGCATTTGACACATGACTGAGGCGCACTTCTGGCGACTTCCACCACTGTTGAGAGTTTCTCCTGCGAGGCGGGCTAAACAAAATAGCTGGGACTCATGAGCAGCAGCTACCGCATGTCAGGCAGCTTCCTCCATTTTATTTGCTTTTTAGTCCCAGCCATCTAGTTTTGCCCCACTCTGCGCGGCGCGGGAGATACTCTCTGCGGTATGCTGTGTAGTCGCCTGAAGAGGTCCGCAATTTACATGTGACTGAGGCCCTGTTAGGGTATATTTTCGGCCTCGATAATTTGGGACCTTTATTTAGTATTTTTAGGTGCTTTACCATGCTGCTGTGCATTTGTTCAAAAATAATATTGTGGCCAAATAATAATAATCACTCTTTTCAGTGATAATTACAACTTTAGAAGCCTCACATTTAAGTGAAATGGTGTATTGATTAAAACTATGGGAAGTTAAATGATAAAATTAATAAAGTAGACCTATGTCAGTCATTTACAGAGTCAAGCTTTAATGAAGTACTGATCTGAAATTTACCACATACAAAGATCACAGAGTCAGCTGACATAGGAAGAAGAAATATTGGTCAAATTAGATTGCTTTTGCTGCCAGTTAGGACTAATGCTGTTCTCATTATTTAAGAATATGACCGCAAAATTGTACTAGTTGGTAATTACGTTTCATGTAAAATACTTTATTTGAACTTTGCAAAGTCAGTGAAAAAAAATAATGCAGTTTGATAATGTTCTAAAAATTTATCTAGAACAAGATATAATATAATGTACATAGTGCATTGAAATGTTGTTTATATATTGCTAAGTGGTTTGGGACCCTCTGTGGTGTAGCGGTTAGATGCTCGCCTGCAGATCTGAAGGTCATGAGTGAAGAGAGCCAGATTTTGTTAAAACTTGACCTTGGCTCACAGATGGACCCAGTCTTAAATGGGTAACAGGTAAAGTCCTGGGAAATAAAGACAGCCGACCTGATGTTGACCCATCACCAATTGAGGACCCATTAGTCTATAAAAATGAGTCTAAACCTTAAAACGCTTGATGCGTTACTAGTGTGTAAAGGGACCTTTAAAAATGTACTGGAGAGTGAGAAAAACTTGCAATGTTCATGATCTCATAGTTGACATAAGGACACCCATCTATTTACTACACCTCTACTTGGTCGAGGAGGGCAGCACACACATTTCTGGGGTCATAATATCCACCAGTATATGGCACACCATAAATGCAAAACTGCATTAGAGCAGAAGAAGACACTTAGTCCTTGCGGGCAGACATTGTTTCAGAGGCAGAGGTAATCCTCTAGTAAATGTAGTTTTCAACCTTTTTTCATGTGATACCCCCCCCCCCTTTTTTTTTAAACATATGGCAAGACCTCCCTACCCACCCCCACCCACCCAGCTTGAAATAAATGTAATTTAAAAAAAAAAAAGGTCCAAAAAAGATCACAAATGCTGTGGAGAAAAACATTCACATAAATCACAGTATTAAATAACAGAAAAAAAAAACAGTTACCAAACAACTGGTAATTTAGTGTCTAGATATCAGTGTGATGGTTGATGCTGTTTTGTCTTGCTAATACCTGCTGCAGAGACTACTCATGGAAACAAAAACATTATTTTTTCTTTGTTTTATAATCAAATTATTTATTGTAAACTTTAAAAAAAAAAAAAGCTGTTTAACAGATTATTGCAATTACAAATAAACTCCATTTTAAAATTGCTTGACGCCCTCCCCATCCCCTGAACTTCCTTGTGCCCCTGTATTGAACACCACTTTTTTAGCAGATGTGGAATCAAGGTGAAATCACATTATTTTCTCAAGGTCTCTCGCTTCAAAATAGTTGATATAATTTGCTTATTACAATATAATGTGAACAGCTGTTTATAGATATTCTTCTTTGGTAGGAAATATTCTAAGAAACAGACAACACCAGCTCTTGTTTTATCAACTTTTTCTCTAAAAAATAACTTTTATAGTAGATTTCATTTCCATGGAATAGAACATATCCATGATGCTGTGATTTCAGTCACAGGGGTGAGGAAAACTCAAGTCTAATGTTATGTATATAAGGAGATACTCTGTTCCTCACTCGGGCACCAGCTCCTCACTAATCTGGTTTTACGGAACTTCACGCAAGACTCCTGCTGCATGTCTCCGTCATACACCGCGGATGATGTCTCAAATGAGCATTAACAGAGCTGGCAGGGGATCTCAGAGTTGGCGGCCCCCAGAGGTGTAGTGCCCTTTCTATTTCTCATCAGCCTGCCCCAAACACGTGTGAAAATGTATGCTAAAACTCATTTGGAACATGAGTAAAGTCTGCTTGCCAAATGTACCACTAAATGACAACTCTTGGTTAAAAGTCTGTGGAGTGAATGGAAAATTGTGCTACTGACACTCAACCCTCGACCAAGAGATTTACCTGCAGCCTAGACGAGTAACATCTCCTATTGGCGGTTTCTCGCAGTAAAATCTTACCTACGTACATCCCCTGTCAACCCTCAGCGTTGTCTTCACCGCCCTGAGGTACACCACGACAGCAACTGTTCATTTGCTGGCTAGGCCCTAATGTCTGACACAGATATATCATATGACACGAAAGCAAGCTCAAAGTCAAAAATCGTCCTGATTGGGAAAAAAAAGTCCAAATGTCCGTATCCACTGGCCCCACTCGCCTGAGTGTTGGAACCAAACAGTCACTGAAGCCATGCCTGACGCATGCTTCTCCATTCTGTTGTGCTGAGAGCACAGTTGAAACAACGTTGAAGCTATCTAACATGCGATGAAGAAGAATGTATTTGTTTTTGTGGTCACGGCTGTGATTTTAAGCAGTCACGTACAGGACGTGACGATTCCTTGGGTGAGCCCAGAACCAGAGCGTCTGATGTCGGTTCTGCATTTATGGAAGCCTCCTTGCCTTTCCTTGAGGGCTGACCATTCTATACAGGGTTGCCCTAATGGTTTTTTTTTGAGGACAACACCTTTAGATAAAGGAACAAAGAGGACACCATACAAATGAGGCAACATGTCGACCCTCATAAAACAATAGCTACAGTATTCCTAGAGATAGGCTTGACATCTTCCCTCAAAGTCGTAGTAAATCTGAGTGCAAGGAACGAGAACTGCAAACAAATAAGCCAGCAAAACGGATGTACTTGCAAAACTCAGGTCCAGGTAAAAGCCAAAAGTCTAAATGGATGAACAACCGGGACTTGCCTGTGAACAAGAAGAAGAAGAACATCTTCGTGGTGAGTTTTGGCCACATTTTATTGGGGGAGGGGTAGATCTACTGCCTCGTATCAAGCATGTCATATCGCAAAAGGCCACCAGTTAAGGGTTTCAGAAACTAGATGTGTTAGACTGAAAAGAGCACACAACTTTGCTTCAAACCACAACTGTAAACAACTGCCAGTCACTTGTTTAACACCTTTAGTACGAGTTAGTAATGTCTTAACAAGTGTACCTAAGGAAGAGACAATTTTTTTAAGCTAAAATTTCTGACCACAAGGTATGGATCCTTATCCACACAGGACTGCAGGGTACATCAGGATAGTACTTCATATAACCGCTGTAGATGCCCTGATTATAACTTCTTTGGAGGTGTAACAAAGGCTTCCATGAATTACCCTATTGAATTGGCTTCCATAATGCTATACATATTGTAATGTTGCAGAAGTGTGAGAATTTCAGGTAGCAGCCTGAAGAAAGATGGTCATTCTATTCTTATTTATTGAAAAATATAATTGTTAAGCATTACATTTGACTCTCCCTGTACACACTTGGGCTTGCTGGCAGAAAGGTAATGAATGGGCTGACCAAGTGGCAGGCAGTGCATCAAAGCATGTGGGAAGAGGCATGGACAGGATAGATATCATGATTGCTGTAAGGTCTAGGCTGGCTGATGATGATTCTCTGACACTAACACCAGGGAGTGTGACCATGGAGTAAAACATGGTGAAGTCCGTTTATGCCACCTTTGAGGCGAAGGTGGAGAAAATTATAATTTTTTTATGAGAACAGTCAGTAGAGGTACCTAGGAATAGCTGCTGCATCAGAGGACTGAGCACACATGGGAATATCCAGTGATTGTGATAATGAACAAGCTGGCAGACTTGCAAGTGACACTCATGTGGGAAACGGACGAGCAGGGGACAGGACTGATATACTTACTGAATACCCTTCAGAGAGTCGGCTAAGTTGAACGAATCAAGTAATGATTGTGAATGTGCAACACTGACGAGACTACACGAACGTGACATCAAAAGGTGTTAAGCCAGACAAGAGCTCTACACAGGGGCCCAAAGAAGAATAGTAAACTAACACATAACTGGTATCATAAGCCACTACACGCTGAGGGAGATACTGAAGAGGGGATATGGGCACTTATGGACTGAATGGTTTGATGTGTGGTGATGATAATCTGTCGACTAACTGTGATAACATAACCTTTGGTTGTTTCTTTATAATAATAAGTAATATTAGTATTGTCTTATGTCTTTTTAAAATGTTCACTACAATTATTACTACTTTCCAGGCCATTGTAAGTGAAGGAAAGGATCCAAACACTTTCCGTTTTGATGTGGTGGATACAGCCACAACTGCATCTGTATTAAAGGGGGGTAAGTAGGAGCGTTTATGTTTAAAAACTGTTTATAAGTGAGGGGATTGGTTTCATTACACTGGGTTTTTGTCCCATGTGGTTTTGCCTCTTAGTGGCTGGTCACCTGAACAAGTATTGCACAAAGCTCGAACCCTGTAGCTTTATCATTGACCATCAAATGTCTCTGAAACACCCTGCACTTGCGAACCAGAGGACAGTCCAAAATCAAATCTTCCACTTTTAGAGCCTAAAGTAAATGGTTCAACTCTTTGCCACGGAGACCCCCATGGGAGTTAGTCAGTGGAAGTGATTTCAGACAGCAGGGTGTAGAAAAAAATACAGTAAAACCTCCTAAACATGAATTCAGAAGGACCTGAAATCAAGGTCCTGTTTAAATAAATTTCTGCTAACCAGGAGACTAATAACAATAATTCTGGGACCAACATTTTACTTATGCTAACCAAGTTATCTTCTTAAACCTTTCGCTTCAAGAATTTTAAATAGCTCATGACCCTGTTAGGATTCCCCAAAAATGTGTAAAAACATTTTTTTTTAAACGTGAGTCACTGATAAAATTTATCAACATTTTATAATAATTTTTTGAAGTATACAAAGATGTATGAGAGTAATCAATAAACTTGTACAGGGTGAAGGATTACATTGAATACATCACTAGGGGTCTAAAAAACACACCTATCGGGCGACTCATGCTGTGACCTTTACCACGGAAGCTAATCAGAAAATCTGACGTCAACTTGCGTTAACTGTGCATCTTGTAGGCAAGTTGGAAGTGTGACATTTATGGTAAATTAGACCCAACCGGAAGTGTCAGCTTTACAGGGTAAAAGGATTAAGCAAGTTGGTATGTTAACAAAATGTTACTGTATCTGTTATCAATCAGAAAGTGTGGAGTCATGTGTTTACCATTCATTTAATTGCAGTGCTCTAAAATTTGAACTGAATGGTTAGAATGCTGGTCTCTCACGCAGGAGACACGGGTTCCAATCCTTGGTTAGGCTGGGGGGGGGGGGGGGGGGTTATTTTTTATCGAGGGCAAAAAAAAATGTATTTTCACCTGCACAGTTCGTGGTGACAGCACTAGCTATGCGGCCTTAATTCCTTAGGCTCAAAGACCCCACCCCCTGCCTACACAGCAAAGGTGGTTTAGTAAAGTCAGTAATTGGCAGTTTTTAGCTCTAAAATCTAATTCTTTGATTAGACAGGTGAGTTGAATTGATTCAAGAACCAGCATCACAGCACTCAAAGTATTCCCATAAGCTCTCTGTCCTCAGCAGCCAGCGCAGAGTTCCAACATCAGTGGTACCAGTAGCAGTCTGATTGCATGTTCATCTTGCCTTTCCTCTGAGCATCAAGTATCGGCCAGATCCCCTTGTCACTCCTCGCTGCATCACTCTCACCAGACTGTGATGATCCATTTGTTCTTTGAATTGTAGGCATACTCCCATAAGGCCTTGACCACGTCTGCCTTATCTTGTATCAGTATTCCACTGAGATTTGTAGAGCCAGCCGATCTGTTGGCCTGTTTATTTCCCAACACACTGGTATGATTAGAGAAATTAGATATAGACAGTGAAGATTTTGTTGCTGACATGCTGTGAGAAGAAATAAACTCAGAAACTTGGTAACAGCTGGCAGACTTGATGATAAAAGAGCAAACAGAACACAAAGATAAACACCTGGCTTACTTGGTCACACATTTGAGGGCTGCGTATAAATAAAGGTCTAATCTGGGATTCTGGTGAAGCCTAGGTCAGTTAAACAGATCTGTCTCAATTCTGGATTCAAACCACAAACCTTCAGACAGATGGCACCCATGCTAGCCACTGTGCTGCTGCAGCTATCATTAAATGCAGAGGTAAATAAATGTCAGATGGCCTGTAGTAACATTGTTGGTATAACATACCCTTGATATAATGTATCACTTTGAGTTGAATAAATTTTCATGTTGTTCATCGCTTGGTGCGTAATAAATAAAGAAAAAATGTAAATCAAAGAACTGAAGTATTGAAATTGATATTTTTGAAATGTTTTCTGAAATGCCGTCTTCTATTTGGTTAAAAAAAACTTTAGCTGATGAAGCGGGTGACCTGGCCAGTAAAAAGACAGATAAAGCAAATGGAACATCTGTGGTAAGTGACATTTATACTGCTGTAATAAAATTTAAAAAAATGGGAATTCTGTATGTACAGAACTAGATTCAGGCATGCTTTATCTCAAAATAGACACCACCTCTCCCCCCTCCCCCATGACCAAAAACCCTGACAGATGTGAAAGTCACTTTGAGTAAATTTCAAACTTAATTCAGTTAAAAGTTGCATTCAGACACAGATGTCTGAGGAAACTGATTATATTAAATAGTGTAACTTCAATCAAAGTGAAGAAACCAGAGAATGTTTGTAGACAACCACTGGTAGGGTATCACTTGTTAAAGAGAAAGGTGTAGGATATATATTGGGTTGATGGAAGATGTATCACAGAAAAAGGATAGAAAAGGACAGGCGAGAACGCATTTTACAAAGTGAGAAACATTTGTGCAGTAAATCCATGTCATTGGAGGTGATGCCTAATACCACAACAGGGTAATGACATGAAATGTCTTCTTGTCTGATAAATTGTTATGGTGTAAAAGTTATCCCCTAGCAGTTACTGCCCCTGATGTGTAAAGTGGTAGGCTTTCACCACCTTTAGGCCAGTGGTTGAGATTAAAATGAAGGTACAACCAAAAAAAAGGAACTTTCCAAGTACTGTTAGCAAGAACTTGGAGAACAACATCCACATAAATCAGTGAACAAGAACTTGGAGAACAGCATCCACATAAATCAAAGTGTCAAATAACATATAAGAAACAGTCATCACCAATGGTAATTTAGTGTCATGGTTGACAATGTTCTGTCTTGATGGTATCTGTTATTTTGGGTCTAATGTTGGACACGGCATAACGGAGACCACTCTCCACACCAAGCTGGCAGTGCTGCTGTGTTTTTATGACTCTTGCAATTTCAAGTTGAAGCTGGGGGAAAATGTTAGCATAACAAATTATTACAAGTACAGATACACTCAATTTTAAAATTGCTTGACGATCCCTTGAAACTTCCTTGCACCCCAAGGTTGAAAACCACTGCTCTAGGCCATGACATATGAGGTGGGGGTGGTCATTTCCTTTCCACATTACCTGCCACTTCGGGGGATTGATACCAGATCACTGCCTCTGCAGGCATGCACACTAGGATTTTGCCACTATGGGGCTGTTTGTAGTAGGGTAGGCAGGGTATTGCATAATTTTTATGATCTTGATTTCTTGTAAAATCTTCTTCTTTTTTTCTTCTACATTTGCCCACGATTGGCACCATTGCACTGTGGTTGACAGCTGGAATGTGACATTTATGCCTTTTAGCCCAACACTATAAATTTCCGCAAACTCTTAATTAGATACTTTTTATGTCATGCTTGTTAAAGCCGGTGCCCCCCTCCTCCCCTGGATAGGTTATGGTTTCTTGTAAAATTGTTTTGTTTGTGTTTGACACACTGCTGTTCATTTTGCTTGCAGAGTGAAGGATGTGACTCTGAACAGCTGCAGACTAGCGCAGGTATTAATGTGTGAAACCAAGGTATCCCTTTTCTATCTGTGACGAGAGAGGGCTTGGACAGAGTGACACAAACAAATGGCAGTCTGCAAATTTGTGATGTCGAATTTCTTTCATTTAACATTTCATTCAGTTTTTACTAATTTAAAAAAAAAAAGTACCCTGGTGGGTACTGTTGTTAGTAGTTAAGTGGTTCTTTCACTCAGCAGCAGCTTTACTTTACATTCATCAGAGAAAATCAACATAATGTTGGATGATAAGCAGGCATGTTAAGGAAAACAATATATGTAGTGAATTTGTGAAAATAATTTAAACTGTTTTTTGTAAAGGACCCAATGACGCCTCGGACATATGGTGTTAGAGCCATATCTGTATAAATCACATGGCATCCATAGGGTGTTGTGGTCAGCATCACCCTGACTGCCTTGATTTCCTATGATATCACCTGGTGCACAGTTTAGGCTGTGCCCACCTGCCCTGAATCAGTGACCAGAATCCATTCTGATGCAGATTCAAACTCAGGACCTTGGGGTCAGCAGGCAAGCATCTAGCCAGTGTGCTACTGCAGCTCCCTTTAAACTGTTATTCACATAAATATTTCTAAATCAAACACTGAGACCACCTGGATAGCAAAAGTATGTGGAAATCACTGCATAAGATGAAGTTTAAAAAAAAAAAAAACATGAGGTGACAAACTGCCTAAGTGTACAGGATTGTGGAAGTTCACTGATGAACAAGCTGGAAAACAAGAGATGAACCGGTGAGTCAGTTCCAGCTGATATTAGCATCTACACTGGACCCTTGAAGCCTGTAGCCATCACAATCTCAGGTTTTATGTTTTCCTAATCTCATTTTGTGAATTTCTTTAGTTTCCCACGTTGGAGAGATTGGCAGCAATGGTGCAGTTCCAGGTAACATGCCAGTTGAGGGGAAGGAAAATGGCTCACAGGGAAAGCCAAATGCAAATGCTTCTAGTACCAGTCAGGATTCTGAGAGACCTTCGACGGCCAAGACAAATACTGGCACCTCCAACATTACCACCCCCGCCAAAGGGAAGAAGAGTCAGTCTTCCATAGAATATGAAGGGGGAGATGAATCATTTGTGGTACAAGAGGATGACGTAGTATTGAATGATATTGATTCAGATCTTCTTGATGGTGAAGGAAAAGCCCCAAACTCTGGCAGCACGGGAGAACCAGGAGTTTGTGGAGATGCAAACAATGGTGAACTGGACAGTACAGCTACGGCAGACACCTCCGCGAATTTGCTGGAAAATACGCAAGGCGAACAGACAACAGCTGGAAGCAAAGTCGGAAAGGACACCAGCGAGGCCAAGAGGTTTGTTTTCCATCATTACACTTTGTTGATGTTGAAATCCACAATCATTTGGAGAACAAGAATTATGCTTGTCTTTGTTTGACTGCTTTGGACAGCAAGCGATCTGTGCAGAGCTAAACTATAAATGGTTCTGTCAGTTTACACTCGCACACACACACACACAAACACACAGTCACCAGCATAGCTTTGACATCAAGTAGTCAGATGCTTTGACATGAATATTTTTAATGCGGCCTTGGTTGGAAAAGAAATGTGTTCATGGACTCATCTGTTTTAGTGTAGAGTATCATGAAGTAATGTCTAACCAAAGTAAAAACTAGAACAGTCAGCTTCAGAATCACACAGACGACACATGAATGTTGCGGCTAGAGAGCCTTCATCAGCACATTACGTAAATCTACAATACCACAGATAAAAAGAATATACAAAATCACTTAAATTATATATCTCCGATAGAAATCCCATTTAGTGGGTAATGTGGAGTAGCTCGGTGAGCAGATGTAAGATGATGAAACTGATGCTGAATTCACAAATACATTTAGCAGTGCACATTAGATTTAGAATAAGCTCAGTCTTAAAACTATACTTTGAGTATTTCTTTCTTTTAAGCGTGGCTATGGTTGGGGAATGCGTGTTGTGCTTGTAAGCTTGATTCTGGGTGTGTATTGGTGGTTTCTGACAAGGTAGTGTGTTAATGCATTTTACTGCCAGTTAACAGTGGTCAGATTTTTAAATAATTTAACTTAGCTCCAACCCTAGTGTTTTGAGAGAGGCGAGGGCTTGAAGACCACTTGACACAAACATCAGAAAGAAATAGTCGAGATTTTTTAGGGTCTTGTTATGAGAAGATGGAAACTGGAACATGTGATAACTAGAAAGATCTGTGAAAAGAGAGACAGAAGAAGACAGCACGAGAAAATTCTTGACAGCCTTTTATCATGGCCTGGAGGGGTATCAACACACGAACTGATACACACAGTTTCAGATTGTAGAGAGGCATAATCGCCCTGGCCAGTTGGCAAGGCACTTGATCATGAAATTGGTCCTACGTTGACCTAGCCTACAGTCCGCTTCTGCCTTCAAATCCTCAATGTAGTATAGGCCCCTAGCCAAGTTGTTCTGTCCTTTGCTATCACACGCAGCTCTCCCCATGACCTCCGCATCTTTTTAACTTCTCTCTAGCTCCCTTCTCCGTGGTTTTTTGTTGTTGGGGAGAGGGGGGGGGGGCGGGGTAAATTCAGGAAATATCCTTGGAAGTAAAGGCGACCAGTGAAATGTTTATCACGTAACCCACCAGGTACCAATTGGTTTATAAAAATATGAGTCTGGCAGCATATACCTCATCCCCGTATATAGAAGCGTGTTTGGGAATATCCTGAGTGCATTGATGTATATTCTTGACTCATTCATTAGTAGTAATGTCAGCAATGACAGGACTGTTGTCAGTTCTATATGGCTCTGTGATTGTACTGTCTTTATAAAATAGGTACTTATCATTTCTTTGGAAAAGTTAAAGGTTGACAGCATGATAAGACCATACTACTGCTCAGATACCCCTAACTCATTTACAGCTATGGGGTCTTGCATTATAAATCCCATTATGTCTCACTAGTAAAGAATTATTTATTTTTACTGTATTGTTGTTTGTTTTTGTAGTAGGGTTTGTGGAGTGCTGTGTCTTTGTCTTGGCATTCCCCCTGCTGTAAACTTCTGCAGAAAGTTCTGGTTGTTCTACGACTTCTGGACTGTTAGTCTTGTTCCAGAACTTAAGTTTGCATGCACATCCATTTTATCGATGTGGCTTGTTTGTGTGCAGACTGTTGGTCCCTTGCCTATAGGGCAGATGCACTTCTACTTCGAAGGAGCTATGCCCCATGTGTACAGAATGGCTTGTCCCACATGTAGAGTACGGTCAACAATCAACACTGGTGCCTTATGGGCGATGAACACAGTTTCATAATTCTGGCCTACCAGGTTTGAGTCAGCTCCAAGTGATTTCAACAATTTGAGGATCAGAATGTTCAGAAAGCTACAACAAACCAATGATCATAACATTGCTTGGTTAAGGCATGCAACAGCCAACAAAGGTCGAGGTTGATTTGCAGTATCCTGTAAAGCAGGGTTATTCAGTAGGGGGGTTCCCGGGCTAAATCTCGGTCCACAGAGGCCAAGCAAAGCACCCGCGGTCACCTGCCATTTGTGTTCATGATCTTTTCTGTGCTGGGGCTCTGGCCTCTGGCCCACAACGATTTCCATTTCCCAACATTTTGGTCCCTGAGTAAACTAAGTTGAACGGCCCTGCTTTAAATGATGTGGGAGTATAGAATGAACATATTTCTGGTGTGCTGTTAGACTTCTCAGTTATAAAATGTTACATTTATCATGTTGTTTTATTCAAGAGGACATATTTAACAGATTTATCTTAACATCGATGACATTGTACATTTCAGCTCTGCACAACCTGTAAAGAAAGATGAGAAAGGTAAGTATATGAACTGTTTAAATCATTTAAATATCAGTTAAACAAAAGAAAACATTTATATAACATTATTATCATTCAAAATTTAGCTTTTAAAAACTATTTTTTTGTGTGGGTGTGTGGATAATATTTATAAACAGTTTCATTTAATCCCTTGTTATCCACCAATACGTCCACTAGATAGCAACAGTATGGACCCAGTTCCATGCTTTGACGCTTTTTGGAAATATGATGCTAAACCAAAGATTGTCAGAATACAATTGATTAAGAAGAAAATAAATCTGATATCCCAAAAGATTTTTACCTCAAGGAAGACTGGCAAGTGAACAGCATCTTGTCTCGGAAGCTGAAATTTTTTGACGTACCAAGTCCCACAGTGGATTGGAAAGAATATAGCAAAAGGCATGGAATCAGGAGCTGACCAACATGAAGATTGGTACAGGATGTAAGTGACACGTGTTTTTGACGTACCAAGTCCCACAGTGGATTGGAAAGAATATAGCAAAAGGCATGGAATCAGGAGCTGACCAACATGAAGATTGGTACAGGATGTAAGTGACAAGTTGGATAGGACAGTGTATGAGGCAGGAGAGCTGACACTGTTTACTCGCTCCCAAAGGGCCCTTACAACATCTGGCTTGTTACATGGTGTACATGAGACCATGAAACATCATATCATTAAAGGGAACACCTAGAGACAGTATTGTTTCTGACAGACTGAAATAAAAGTAAGTAAAGATCCCTTTTCATGCCTTTAGGCACATCGGGCATATGGGAAGAGCACCCACATTTTTACAGACCAATTGGCAGTAGGTGGGTAATGTGGTCGGTCAGCATTACGCCGGCCCTCTTTACTTCCCCAGGACATACATCCTGGTATCCATTTTAGGTTGGGTCAACCTGCGACGCCCCATTTCAACAAATTAAATGCCATATTGAGAAAGGGAGAATAGTAATGGAGATCATTTTCTCTAGGGGAGGCAGGGCTAGATCAGCACAGTGGTGGAAACAGTATGTCAGGGGCATAATAGGTCATGAATGGAAAGGTTGACATGGTGGGGCTTTTCATGATGTCGCGTTCTGCAAAGGAAAATTTTTCCAGAAAGTTTTTATATTACAAATTGGATTATGTGTCATGCACAAAATGCATTTAAAATATTTTTTTCTTAATTTGGAGCTAACAAAAATGTGTTATCTTATATATGGGGATGTCATATACACGGAAAAAAAAATATGGTATGTGAAAATTACTTCTGTGGTTCACAGTTGACATATCCTCTTTCTGAACATTACTATGTATTTGACATCTGCAGCAAGCTTCTCGATTGTGCTCTGTAGAGAACACTGAAACTACTTTCAATCTGGTGTGCAATCTTAAAACCAGGCATGATAATTGCAACAGGTCATGTGACGTGTAAGAGAAACGCTAAGGCCAATGTTGATGAAGGAAGCCAGAGGTGCTGAACTGGATTCCATGTCTTTTATGGAGGTGATTGCACACGGTAAAACAGAATAGAAAAAAAATAGACTGTGAGCCCTATGGGATGGGACATATAATGGCACAGCAAGACAATGAATGAATTAATGTAGTCATGACTTGAAGCAGGCAAACGAGACTGGCCAGCCACATGCGACCCTTTGCAAGCTCCCCTGCAACCCATCCAAAGGAAATATTCTGCAGTAATTTGTTCTTTTGCCTCTCGGGTAGACACACCACAACTTCAAATGAAGGTCCTTAGTTTGTCGACTCTTATGACATGCGTGTTAAGAAGGCAGTTAGTTAATTCTTCTCCCCCCTCTTTTCCCCACTCCCACAGTGGGGACTGGGACCCACATGGGGAAATCCTTGATATAAATGTCTGCATATTTTTGATGCATCACAAATATATCATCATGCAAAACTGGCTTGCAAATCAAGCTTAGTCATTTTTTTCGGTGCCAGGTGTATGTGGCAGATTTTTTAAAAAAAATTGACCTTATGTACCAGGTCACTGAGCATAAAATGGATACCAGGAAATTAACTTGTATTTAAAGGTGGCCCGACGAGAAAATTGACTTTTACTCACTTTACTTTATGTGTGTAAATTTTTTTTTTTTTTTTTTTTAAATGTGAATAATTTCTCATTGTTATTTTGCTTATGAAGGCTTATTGCTGCAACGTCCTTTGTTTGCCTATTGTAATTGGTCCTGTAAAGCTGATATATTTTTTGTTTTTACAAGCTTTTAGACTTTTGTAGCTTTGGTGTAGTAGTAACTTCATTTTAATACTTTATCTACAGTGTTTTAAATCTTTTAATGCATTTTTCCTAAGCTTCACAGGCTGGTCGCAATCTGTGGGTGAGTGGACTCTCTTCCAGTACTAGAGCTGCAGATTTGAAAACCTTGTTCAGCAAACACGGCAAGGTAAGGTTTTATTTCTCTTGTCATTAAATAACAAAATCGGCACATATATTATTTTATGATGAACCTTGTTTAAAAAAAATCTGCAGTGATGAGCTACTGAATGTAAAATTGCATAGTAAAATAAACCAAAAAACAAATTAATATATAAAGATTGCGCTGTCTCCACAATAGAGGTTGTCTGCAATGTATCCACTGTTAACTATGGGAATATTACAAGGGAAATCCTCAGTCTGTTCCATGGTGGGACTCTCATACCACTGTCTGAAAGCTGTGAGAACAATCTTTTTTTCTGAAGGGCCCAAGGATGGCACAATGAAACCACAAACAGTCAGCTATTGGTGGGGTTGGTTCGTGGCGATCTACACAGGATGTGTGATTAATGTTTCAGATAAATCACAAATAAGCAAAGATGAAGTTATAGTTTTTTGTCCCAGTGTGGGTGCCGGAAAGGGGAAAAAAAAAAGAATATACCCGCTGCCACTCTGACAAGCATGTCGTACAAAGCCATCTAAGCAAGGGAGTTTTCTTCAAAGTCTGAGTGAGAAGTAAGGAACCAGCACTTGGCATACAAAGAATTCAGATCTGTAAAACGAATATGCACACAAAACTCAAGTTCTGGAACAAGACCAAATTCCAGAAGTGGATAAACAACCAGAAATTTCCATTGAGAGTTTACAGCTGGTGAATGCTTAGAAGAAGAAAAGGAAAAAAAAATCTTCCTTGCAACTGCACATATTTTTGTTAACCTTGTGCAAATGGACTACAAACATAATAGAGAGGAAACTCTTAAATGCCATAGTTTAATACAACTTTTTTTTTTGTTTAAAGAGATTTGGAAAACTAAAGGGAATAATTTGCAGATATCGTTTGGTTTCTTGTAATTTGGAGATTTACATACAGCTCATAAACGAATTTTTCAACAGGTGGTTGCAGCCAAAGTTGTCACCAATGCCCGCTCTCCAGTCTCTCGATGCTTCGGACTTGTGACCCTGAGCTCAGCAGACGATGCAACTAAATGTGTTCAACAGCTTCACCACACAGAGTTTCATGGGAGGAAGATTTCAATAGAAAGGGTAATGATAGTAGTTGTGTCAATGATTTATAAGGACAGTAGGAAAATATCAGTGCTCAGCGATTTTATTTACTCTCTGTCCTCAGTGTCTTAAACAATTCTGCAGCTGCATATACAGTTCAGTTGTCAAGATGAGTAAAGAAAAGTTAACAAATATTATTTTATCATTCTTCTGTGTAAAATAGTTTTGCTTTAAAGGGATTTTTTCTCCGGGAAATTCTCATGTTTTTGTGACCTTTTTTTTTTTGCTTGGCAAACGAGGAAACTGTAAGATGTTCTGAGTTCTGGCATCTGAGTTTTTGAAGTTTCACTATGTTATATAATTATAACAACCAGCCTTTAAACAGTGTACCATGTAATCTCTGGGAAGTAAAGGCGGTTGGCATTATATTGACTTCATCTTGCCATATCCCCAGTATTAAAATATAGGTCTAGAACTATATACCAGATGCGTCAAAGGCATGACAATCGTCTTTTACTTGTACTTGGAAATTTTTTTTTATAGATATATCATCATCATCATGTAGCAGGTCCTTTGCAGAACGTCGCTCTCATCATGGTCTGCCTGAAAGAAACTCGGTCTCTCGCCAGCTCTCCCGCCTCATATATCTTTATACACAAGGAATCACTTATATCCTGTGCCTGTTTTCGTGTTGGTCGGCCTCTGCCCCTCCTTTCTGGTACCATGCCTTCTGCTATTATTTTTTCCAATCCGTCGTAGCACATTATATGACCACTATATATATATATACTTTTTTTTTTAAACTTATGATGATGCATGTTGGTCATTTACTGATTCTCTGTGTGAATCATCAGTTTTTTTTTTTTTTAAATTGAATCTGTGTCAATTGTAACTTTCGTTTCATCATTCTCTGTAAATCACAACCTTAATTTATTGAAATCTCTGTAAATCAAGACTTTAATTTACTGAATTCTCTGTAAATTGTTGTCATTGTAGATGGTTTGTAAATTGCAACTCTGGTTTAGAGATTCTGTTCGTAAACTTTTTTCTCTCTCAAAGACTTGTGAATTTTTTTTTTTTTTACTTCAGGCACAGACAGAAATCCAGGGAACCAAAGAGAAGATATTACCTCCAACTGGCCTCAGATCTCCCACTAAACCTTCGGCCCACTCATCAACACAGGGGTCCGAGACTAAAGCTCCTAGAAAGGATGATGGTAATTGTTGTAAACATTTGCAATACAGACTATATTTCACTTTGACTGTAGACTGTATTTGGCATTGTATCTGTTGTAGTAAACTAGTAAACAGTAGTTGACTGTGAATGTTTCCTTTAAAGTTGGAGTGCATCTGCCTGAGAGGCGAGGAACCAGCAGTCTACTTACAAATAGCCAGATCTGTAAAATGGATGTGCACACAAAACTCCAGTTCTGGAACGACTCTAAAAATTAAGAATTTGTCAAACAACCAGAAATTATCACCAGAGTTTACAGCTGGTGAACGTGAAGAATAATAATAATCCAGTTGTGTGTCCTGAAAGTGACGCCTGATCAGATATGGCTTAGCCATCTTTGAAATCAAGATGGAAGCATTATAACCAACTTTTCAGTGGGAGCAGCCAGTAGAGGTTCCTTTGGATGGCTACTGCATCAGTGAACTGAGTAGAGTCATAGCATATGCACAGGTTTTGTCCAAGTCAGGGGCTCTCAACCTTCCTAATGCGTCGACCATTTAATAGAGTTGTTCATGTTGTAGCAACCCCGCCATGGAATTATTTTCATTGCTACTTCATAACTTCAGTAAATTTTTGTTTTCTGGTGGTCTTTGGCGACCCCTGTGAAAGGGTCATTCGACCCTCAAAAGGGTTGCGACCCACAGGTTTGAGAACCGCTGGTCTAAGTATTTAACCATTTTGTCCATGTGGGCTTTGTGCGCAAACTGCAGAACATGTCCTGCAAGAATTTCCCTAGTACAGCCCAATCTGAAGGTAATACTGGCCCACTCAGTCAACACCATACTCACAGTTGTTTGATTTCATGTCACAAGAGTAGAATAAGTGCTTCTTTCTGCTTCTAACTCAAGCCTGAGTCTGAAGAAACTCAGCACATAAATTAGAACTCTGTAGCACCGGCAAGGTTTCTGAACTACTTTGGGTAGATTTTAAACAAATTTATTTAGATTTTCAACTGCCAAGGGATTTTTTTTACATGTGCAACAATACACACGGGTGCCCCGGTCTTGCTACCCAGAGACCAGGGGAAATTACTAGAAGTCCATGTGAAAAAAATCCCAGCCTGAACTGGGGACCTACCGCACTTGAGAACACTCAGCCCTCTAATATACTCAAAGTTGTATGGAACTAAAAGGGAACTCCCATAAATTGTATAACAAGAACTCGTCTATTGGTGTAAATCAGAGAGTGATTATAAGGAGTAGAAGTACTCTCATGGAAATGGGCAGTGAGATCAGTTCTGTTAATTAAAATGTGACCCCACACACATGCATGCACACACGCACGCATGCTGCACACACACAGAAAGAGAGAAATCCAAGAGCACATACATTTTCTTCTGCTGGCAGGCATATGTAAAACGCAAACAAAATTCAAGTTCTGAAATAAGAGTAAAGTCCAGGAGTGGGAAAACAACCAGAACGTTTTGCCGGAGTTTACAGCAAGTGAATGCTAAAAAGAAGATCGGTGTGTCAGTTTAATAAATTAGTAACTGAAATGAAAGTTGCCTGATCCTGTTACTCCAGTGTCCCCTGTTATCACCAGTTCACTTCAGCTTAGTGCGGTGGTCATTGCATGTCAGTGTGTGATGCAGTTGTTTCTTGATAGCCCCCTATTGTCCCCTTGGATGTTGCCCTCCAATATTTTACAATAAAAACTAAATTAGCAGAGGCAAAATGTGGCAGGTCTTGATTAGACTTAAATGCTGACATTGCAGCTCTTGCGACATTTCAGTATGTGCCCTGTCCTCCTCTTCAGCAGCAAACAAAAAGTTCTAATGCCCATTTCACCAGTAGAAGTTTAATTTTGTATTCGTCTTGCCTTAGCTCTGAGTGTAGAGTGTCAGCCAGATCCCCGGGCTACTCCCTACTGCACCATTCTCGCCACACCATAGTGATCTCTTCTTGCTTCGGCATTATTCACATGATGCCAAGGGCCTTGACTACAGTTTGTCATCATACAACAGTTCACCACCCAGTGGTGCAAGACCAGCCAGTCTGTCCTGTGTGTGACAAAGAAGTTTAACAGAAGGAAAGAAATGGATATTGGAAGATCGGGAATATGAAGGATAAATGAAAGAAGAAAAAAAAATGTTACTGTGTCTATATTTAGATAAAAGAATGAACATTGGTCCGCACTGGGTTTAGTTGTCAGTCGCAGCCGATCCTGTTTCCAGATATTTTTACTAGTGGTCCACTTTCACATACTGTGGTAAAAACCCAGCCACAGTGCTGTTTAGTGTATTTGTCAATAGTGTTAACATTTTGCTAACATGATTTCTGGTATTGGGAGAAACTAAGATGACATTTTCAATTGTATGTTTTGCACAATTAGAACGCCATCACAGCCGAGCATCTACTGACAATGACAGAAAAAGAGATGAATTGAAAATCAAGGTAAATATTGAAGAAATTTCATAAATTATTACTGCTAATTAAAAATTTCTATTATAAGTAGTAAGTTTAGAGGCTAGAGCAGTCTCAGCAGTCGTCATTAAAAACAGATGCTCAGCCAGTGCCTGGCTGATTTTGATAGTATCTTTTTCATTTAAATTAGTGCATCTGCCAAAGAGGTGAGAAACTAACAGTGCACACAAATAAGACAGATCTGTGAAATGAATGTGCACGCAAAACTCAATTCATGGAACAACAACTTGGTCCAGAAGTGGACAAGCATTGTGGGAGATTTAAAACAAAACAAGAAGAAGACCCACCTGCCTTCCTAACAATATCGTAGAAGTCAGTTAATGAAGTGTGTTTCCCTTGAAGTCTGAGCACCTCTGCCCTAGAGGTATTGAACCAACAGTTTGCATACATATAATCCAGATTTGTAAAATGGATGTGCCTGCAAAACTCATGTTCTGGTACAAGACTAAGCTCTGAAGTGGATAAACAACTACCTCTAGTTTATAGCTGGTGAATGCCACGAAGAAAAAGAAGGCATGGGAAATCTCTGCAAAGTGTACAAACTCCGTAGCATCAGCAAGGGTCAAATTCTTTAAAAGTTTGGCCATAATCAGTAAATTGTGTGTGTGTGAGTGAGAGAGAGAAAGGGGGGGGGGGGGGCCATTTCATGATGTCAGGTATGTTGGGTATATTATGTTAGCCCTATTTTTTTAAGACCTATTCAGCACTTGATGACTGATGTGGCCAGTTTCTTGCTAGCTGCCTTTACTTCCTAAGAAACTTTCTGGTACCAACTTTAGGATGGGCCACCTGGGGGCTTAGACCAGTGATTAAAGTCTCTGATTCAATGGGGTTTTAACACATGATCACAGTGCCAGCAGGTAATTTAGCTGGCCACTATGCCACCACTGCTGTTTTATTGTTGATAGGTTTCTTTATTTAGACATTTAGCCAAAGTAGCTGCCTGTGGAGTCAGCTGTTTTTAAATTTCCAGCTGTTCAGGGTATTTGTAACGTTATTCTAGCCTCCTAGTATTTGTTTGTTTTTGCTCACTGGCCATGAATACTTAACATCTAATTCACTATCTATCTACTACATCAGTGGTTCTCAACCCTTTTAATGCTGCGACCCTTTAATACAGTTCCTCATGCTTTAGCGTGACCCCAGCCATGCAGTTATTTTTGTTGCTACTTAATAACTTCAACGAATGTGTGTTTTCCTATTGTCTTTGGTGACCCTTGTAAAAGGGTAATTCGACCCTAAAAGGGTTGCGCCCCACAGGTAGAGAACCATTGCACTACATGGACCTTAACAGCTGATCTAAAGGAAAAAAACGAAACAAATGTTGGATATGAAATCTTTCAGACGAATTTTTGAGATATGCAGAAACCGCATCATAAATGATGGGGTTTGCCTTATAATTAGCCAGCCCATTGGCAACTATGAACCTCTTTTTAACTACAGTGAGAAGGCAGAAAATGCAATCATACAGACATGTAATAAGATCATAAAAACTCAAAAACAATACTACAAGGCTCAGTAGAGGAGAGTGGCGAGACTAAAAAAGACCTTGGATGCAGAACTTGACTGACTGGACAGGCCTTAGGCATGCAGCCATGAAGTCCATTGCATTTGACCGTCAGAGGTGGAGGGAGCTGACCAGTCAGTCAGCAGCAACTGGTGACCCAACGACACGCAGTGATGCGAGGCGATGATGGGGATAATCCACTATCGCATGATCTAGAAAAATTCTGCTACCTAAATTTTTTTTTTTTAATTAAGAAGTTCCCCCCACCACCCCCTTACTTCTGTTGGTTTATATTTTGCCTAGGATTATGACATCTGTGCTGCATGACTCTTAACTAAATAATACATGCATCATTTGTAATTTTAAAAAAATATACATTACTTCTTTAGGCTGACGAAGTACGTGACCGGCTGAGGCGTAAAGAACAGTACCTGGAAAGAGAGAAGTACAAGCAGCGTATGATAGAGAGAAAACAGTGGGAAGAAGCACAGAAAATTGAAAGAGAGCGAAGACACCTAAGGTCAGTAAGAAATTTATCAATGACATAGGAACATTTCCTTCTCCTTCCCCCCCCCCCCATATTCAGTATATTTGGCATACCTTTGTACCAGAGTAGTGGCTGCTGTATTGTTTCTAGCATTTTATGGTGTCTAATGTTGGACTTCTAGAAATTTCCCCTGGTCTCTGGGTAGTGAGATCAGACGCCCAGGTGCATTGTTGAGCATGTAAAAGAAATCCTTTGGCAGTTGGAAATCAAAAAGAATAGACTTAACAGCGCTGCGCTAGCAAAATTTGGAGTTGAAAATCTACCCAAAGTATTTTAGGATCCTTGTCGGTGCTACAGAGCCTGTGTACTGTGCTGAGCTTCTTAGAACTCAGACTTAAGTTAGAAGAAGAACGGAGCACTTATGGGTTACTACCTGTGTGCCATGCTGTTTATCCGTTGTTCAAACCTCAAACGTATCTGCTTCTTTTTGTAAGTACCAATCAGTCCATGTCTATTTGTTTAACATACTGTTTCTATGGCCTCAGGGGCTCCTAGGTAATTTATTTCTGCATAGTAGCTGTTAGAGAGACTTTAACACTGAGTGAATTTTGGAGATAACCGTTCTACTGTTTGTGTTATTTTTTTAAACAATATTTATGAGTCAACTTCATTCAGTACAGTTGTTACATTAACATGTCAGTTGACCCTAAATTCTCCTGGAAACTGAGGATTTTTAAATAGGAATTAAAGTTGGAAAGGGTTCGGGGGAGAGTTAGCTGTTTTAGACCTTCCCCCCATTTCTGCTGCACACAATATTGATTTGATACAATGTTGGTATTAGGTTTAATTTATAGTGCTTGCCACAGATTTCCTAGTACTGTGAAGGTTCCTTTTGCTTTCTTTTAGTCATTCCCTCTTTTTTTGCAGCTTTGGATGTTGAGAGGGATATTAAGTTCTGCTTCTTGCTGTTCTGGCTACTTGACCATAGACACATTTTACTCTTGTAGATTTGTCTTGATCTTTTCATCTTGTTCTTGGTCTACCTTGTGCTCTACACCTATCTCCTCTTGGTGTAGGCCTTGCATGTGGTGTTGCGTCACAAAGCATTCAAAGTGTGAAATTGTGCTGTCTTTGCATGCAATTTTGTATTGGTTCTGTGCCAACTTGTTTTCTTATGACTTCATTCCTGATTTAATCTTTACTGCTCCCTCTTGCAGTCTTTCACAGACATTTGTTTTTCATATTCCCCCCTTTTTTCCCTCTTTATATCTCATTCTGTTCCCTCGTGTTTTACCTATATATAGTGCACAAATATAATTCTTTCATTACGTGGGAAATTTTTGTTGATGGAATTAATAACTATTATCATTTACCTGTCTGTCTCTTACAGAGAAATGCGTGAAGAATTAGAAAGAAGACAAATGGAAACAGAGAGGCTAAGATTGGAAACGGAGCGCTTACACATGGAGAAAGAGCAAGAGAAATACAGAAAACAACAAAGGTTTGCATTAGTACTTGATTGAATTCTACAGTTTTACATTTCATAATATTTCTCACGCCAGAAAAGTCTGTGAGGCTTCAGAGAAGTGTTTACAAAAGAATGCTCACGATTTCTTGGACAGCCAAGATCAGTAATCTTAATGTTCTGAAAGAGATTAAGGCCCGAAGGCAACTTATCAGAAAGAGACGGACATTATTTATGAGAAGTGAAAAATAGGAACCTGACAGTTAAAACGATTCATAGAGAGGGTCATCAGGTAATCATAGTTCTAACTTCATAGCAAATGGATCACCGCGTAGTTGCTCCGCTCCTGGGCCAATGAAAAACCACATTGAATATCCATCACTGTACCTGGGGAAAAAAATGGACACAGGCTGCAGTCTCAGCAAAGCCAGTAGTATGCATGTGCACTAAATATGTAAGGCAGCTGTCAGAAATACCAGCGCAAACATTCTGGCGCCAGAAATGCAGTTCAGCGTCGATGGAAGCAGCAGTTGCAACAAATGCAGACACAGTTAATTGCATAAGTCACCAACAGAGAGAGAGAGGAAGACAATGAGAGAATATTTGTGACAGCTTTTTGCCATGTTATGGAGGCATGTTAGCGTGTGAACTGATATGTGCTGTTGGAGATTGTGAGATATCGAGAAAAGAGATCACATTTGCCAGTCCGGCAGGATCATGCTGATGAATATTTAGACATGAACACTATTTTATATAAATCACCCATGTACAAATTGAAAATGTCTCTTTGAATATGTTGGCTGCTTAGCAGGGACCACTTTCAGTAAAAGCAGATAGGAGTCACAATAGCCACGCAAAAATTGCAAGTGGCAAAGTACGCAGTGAAAGTGGCTCATGGCAAAGCCAGATTTCTTAGGGTGTTATGACCAAGTGTTACCCCCCCCCCCCCCCCAAATTAAAAAAAAATTTTTTTTTAATTGAGTGATGGTTGAAATTTTAAGGGGAAAAGCAAATCATACACTACTTATTGTTTAGGGACTGAAAGATGTCAGCAACGAATCTAAGCAGAAAAGCTTCATTAAAATACCAGTTAACAGAGAGGGCTCAGTCATCACCATTGCTGGCTGCAGACCAGACATGTGAAGAAGAAGAGGGAAATCAAATCAGAAGTACTGTTTGATTGTTTCCTTCTTAATCAAAAAAAAAAAAAAAAAAAAGTTTATTGATAATACAGGCTGCTAATTTAATGAATCCGTTCCCCGTATTGGTTCTGGCTTACAATTTTAGTGGAAAAAAAGAATTGACCCCCTGTTCCCCCGGCAGGCATATCGTAAGAGTTGTCTAACTAGGAGTGTTTCATCTTAAGTCAAAATGCATTCGCCTGAGAAACCAGGAAGCAGAAGTCTGCATACAGATAAGCCATATCTGCAAAACACATATGCACGCAAAACTGGAAAAAGACAAATCCAGAGTTTACAGCCAATGAATGTGAAGAAGAAGAATGAATACATGTTTTGTTTTCTCCAACCTTACTACGACTGATGAGTGGAACATTGTAACAGAGATGTCTTAGAAGAGCTGCCAGAGTAGTAAACAGAATGGGATATATTTAAAAATGAGGAAATTGGAAGACTAAGATGTAAGTCACTTTTACATTTTATGAAGGAACAACACATAAAATGGTTTGACTTGTCACAAACATGCCCTGGTACCAACTGCCATGTGGAAAATTGATATAGTGAGCACAGGGCAGTGGGAAGACCATGCATTAGATCGTGGGGCAGCATTAAATAACACCTAGGAGCAATGAAGACCAGTTTATGTAGCACATGAAAGCACACATCCACACACACAAACTCTCCCCCCCCCCCCCCCCCCCCAACCCCACCCCAACCAGTGTAACTAGGGAAGGAGAAGTTTTCACTTCTAGAATATTTTTCTATTAACATCCATTTCCTGATGTTTCTGTTTTGTCCTTGTGAATATTATTATTTTGTAAGTAAACATTTCCTGCCATGTGTAGACAACTGACTCATGTTTTGCAATCAACAAGAAGTGTATAGTTTTTTTTTTTTTTTTTGACAGAGCTCTGCAGGAGCGCAGAGCAATGAAACGTCGCGCACCACGAGAAGAAGAATGGCCTAACAAACATCCAGCAGCTGAGAGATTCCATGGAGGCGAGGGGTATGAACACATCATCATCATTGTGGTGTTGTGCCATTATATGTCAATACCCTGTAGTGCCATTATATTTCGCATACGGCTGACACTGTTTTCCTCAACATATACTTATGTCATAAATATGGTATTAGGATATACTTATGGTGAGATGCAAAATGGGAAATGTTCCCAAGGCAGGCACACACAAAAACGCTTTAAGGACACCTTGAAGTCTTCACTCAAAGTATTTGGGATGAATGACACCAATTAGGAGGCTGCCTCTCAAGATGGAAATGCATGGCGTGCAACTCTACACAAGGGTGCGGTTACATGTGAAGCAAACAGAACAGCAAGACAGATTAAGAAAAGGATGGACAAAAAGGCGACTGCAGGAAATCTCTTCCCTGGCACAACACTAATTCCCTGTCCTTACTGTCCAAGAACTTTTTGGGCCCACATCAGCCTCATTAGTCGTCATACTCAAGAAAAAAGAGTGGTCATCATCATCGTGATGGACAACACACACATTAGAATATACTATACTCTTGTCTTGTGTTTTTCATCACGGTCTGAGGAGAATGGTGCTGTGAGGAGTGACCAGGGGAATCTGGCTGACGATCAACACTCAGGGGGAGAGTGAGGCGGATATACAATTAGACTGTTACTGGGACCATAGGAATTGGAACTCTGCTGAAGATGGGGATGGAGCGTTTGTGAGAATGTCCCAAAGTGCTGTGATGTCAATTCTGAATTAAACATTAAATGTATTTGTAGTTTTCGTTTTAAACACTTTTGTGATTCTATATTTTTGTGACACCATTCGTCAAAGTATACTTGAAAAAACAAGGAGAGGGACCTAGTGCACGGTAAACCAAGACAAGAACAAAATGGAAATATAACATCAGAGGAACTCTTCAACAGTGTGAAGTATCTATGGTCAAGGTGAGGCAAGAGAAGCAAGAACAGAATCTTTTATTGCCCCCGACACCCGAAGTGGTAAAAGAGGAATAGAAGAAAAACTTCTTCTTCTTCAGCGATCTCTGGTCATGCGCATAATCCACTGTGGGTCATAAACTGGGATGTCTTTTCAAGATCTCTATGGTTTCCCCAAAGCTTAGTTGTCAGTTCTACTGGGTGTTGCCATATGTCGCTCCGCAGCTCCGCCAGGAGAGGACAGTCTTGCAGGACATGTTCTGGAGTCTGTTCAGCACGAAGGCACTGACAGAGAGCTGTTTGGCTCATACCTAATTTATGCGAGTGTTTATTAAGTCTGCAGTGTCCAGTACGTAAGCGAAAAACTGTGGCTTGGTCTGTTCTGTTCAAGTGTTTCAGAAAATCTTTTCCGTAGTTATATCCAGTGTTGGTTTTCCAATCTATTTCTGATTTTCTCTTAATGAGAGTTTTGACTTCTGGAAAAGATAGTGGCTGGTGGGTCTGTGGTTTGTTACTGCCTTCCTTGGCTAAAGTTTCAGCGCTTTCATTGCCTTTGATGCCACAGTGAGATGGAATCCACTGCAAGTGAATTTCTGCCTTTTTTGACAACATAGCAAGTTCCTGTGTTAGACTTTGTAGTGTGCTGTCGGTAGGTTTGGACTCATGGGCCTGTATAGCTGACAGTGAGTCAGTGAGAAAAACTATCCTGCCTGCGGTAATTTGCAGATTGTTCATATACTGTGCTGCCATCAAAAGGGCTGAGAGCTTTGCCTTGTAGTAAGAGCAAGTTCGTCTGGTGGAGGCTGCTAGGGACACAGTAGTGGCATCTGGGTGTTTTATGTAAACACCTTCCCCACCATTCGTAGTTGCCTCTTTTGCTGATCCATCCGTGTAGATTCTCGTCCAGCTGTCCTGTGGGAACATGTTGTTGAGGTGTTCCATTGTGAGTGCTTTCTTTACTAAAGCGGGCTCAGCATCTTTGTTTCCCAGGTTCAGGATGGATGTTGACACATTGAGTGTCAATAATTCGGAGTCCCAGAGATCGAAAGATAGCTCTTCGGGTGTACATTGTTGGTTAAGTAGTGAAGAGAATGACTTTCCAAGAAAAAAAAAAATCAGGATGTTCTTTATCCTAAACATATTTTTTTCAGTCAGGATTTACTTTATCCTAAACATATTTTTATCAGTCAGGATGTACTTTATCCTGAACATATTTTTATCAGTCAGTATGTACTTTATCCTATACATATTTTTATCAGTCAGGATGTAATTTATCCTTAACATATTTTTATCCTAAATACTTTCATTTTTGAAGATAAAACATATATTTGTGTGATAAACACAGTCAGGATGATCTTTATCTTATTGTTTATGTTATTTTTGTGTGTGCTTGAAGTGGGGGGAGGGGCTTTAATGTCATAATGACCATTTAAAGAGGGACGTGCATCAAAGTGGAGCAGTATTCTGTTATCTGTTTTTTGATCAATGAAGGGGTAAAACTTATAGAAATTCATCAATGAAGGTCCAGTGTGGTGATGCATGCCGGTCAATCCAGTAAGTTTGTGAGTGCTACTGTGTTTGCACCGTGGTGACATGTGCATAACACTCTTGACATCCTTAACAACAGTATTGACAAGTTACATGACAATGGCATGTTTCTTTCACACCTTTATAGTTTTTATTTGAAGCCCCCATGTATTTCATATTGATAGAGAGGTATGAACTGATGCGATAAACATATAGTTAGTATATTCTGTGTGTTGTCATTTTCTTGTAAATACTTCTCTGCTTACAGGCAGATAGAAGCATATATGTGATAAATACGCAGCCAGGAAATTCATCTTTAATATAATTTTGGGGCTGCATGAATCTGCAGGGAGCCGGATTGTTTTTATACACGACCTTGGCCACGACTACCAGATAAAGTCCTGGGAAGTAAAGGTGGTCTGCGTGATGCTAACCATATTACCCATCCATGGCTGATTAGTCTATGAGTCTAGCCCCATATGCCGATGCACCACTGACATGTAAAGGGACATTACTCGACTTTCCTGTGTACAGGGATATAAACTTAAGTGTATATAATAAACAGAGATATGGTAGCTTCTGTCCTGTACTTTTCTTTCAAATATTTCCTCTTTACAGAGGTATGTACATATATTTCTGTGATAAACACACTGTCAGGATATTCTTTTATCATAAAAGTACTTTCCTTTAAAATCATTTCCTGTTTAGCAAAATATGTTTTCTTTTTCTAGGAATCAAAGTTTTAATGCTAAGATCCTTTATTTATTTTTTTAAATTAAAAAACAAAATATTAGTCCTTGATTTTTATGTATGTGCGCTAAAATGTGAATAATCTCGTCAGTAAAATATTGAATTGCTAGTGGGATGCAGTAATGCTAAACCACATCTGTCTTCACCTCTGCTGTCATCTTAGAAACACGTACCCAGTCGGGATCCTGGATAGGATAGGTCTCTTTGAAGTCGGAGTGCATTTTCCTGATAGACAAGGAACCAGAGTTCAAAATATCCCAGATAATATTGGAAGAAGACCAGAGTCCAAAAGTTAACGAGCGAACAGCTAGGATTTTCCGCGGGAGTTTACAGCCAATGAATGTGAAAAAGATGAAGTATTGCCAATTGTTATCTTCAGCGTGTGTTTTCTTGCATCATCAGTTGTAGCAGATAATTTTTGGCTATGCAGTGTTTGTTGTATTTTATTCAGTAACTGTTCTGTTTAAAAGATTTAAAAAAAAAAATTTGACAGTTTTCGTGAACCCAGAGAATTTAATGGACGGGTTGAGGAGCGCAGAAAATTCAGGGAAGAACGGCCACCTCCAAGAGAAGGAAGAGTGGCTAGGAATGATCGACCTCTCCGTGGTGGCCTTTCTAGGCACAACTCTCGTTCTGACTGGAAATCTGAGAGAGGTTGGTTGTTTTTTTAAGGTTTTGTTATACATAAACAACATTGGATTCATTATCAAAGGTTCTCTCTCTCTCCTTTTTTTTTTTATGCTGTGTTTTCTTTCAGCACAGATTGACTCTTTCAGTCATTTAACATTTTGCAGTAGATGCCCAAATCAAACAGTTCACAATAGAAGAGAAAGCACAAGTGACACACAATCAGAGAGAGACACACTGTGCTGCCATTGCCTTTGATGTGATCTGAGATTGCACATTTGCCCACTGAAATCTTTTCTGGATGTGACACTGAAAGCTCTCCATGTAATTAAACAGTATGAATATGTCTTCTGAGCAAAAGGAAAAGAGAGGACAGTCCACGGCTTTACCAACTTTAAGGAAGTGACAAGTGACAGTCACATCGAATTTGAGTCAGTCATTTTCATATTGTACATTTTGTTAAAAAAAAGTATTAACTTTCTTTTGAGAGAGAGAGTATGTGTGCGTGCTCATGTGTTAAGAGCATATGTGTGTAATCTCTTGCGAAAGAAAAATAACACTTTTCAAAGCTTATATAAATATTCCAGTGGATTTTTTACAAACATGAAAGAAACAATAGGATGTTCTGTTGCAATCATTTGCGCCTGACTTGGCCATGGAAGATCTGTTGTGAACTCATGTCTTTTCTGAAACACTCATGCCAGTCTATCACGTTTGTCTTCAACACACATTCCTTATCGCACAGTGCCTGTATCTTTTATGACTGTCCATTGGTCGACATTTTTCATTTGGAAGAAACTGAATTACCTCTCTTACGTATTTTGCGTCCTTCTGGACATTTTCTCAACAGTCAGAAATAGAACCTTTGCATCCTGGGACGATAAGCATTTGCTGGTTAATTCATTGGCCAGTGCTTATCACATAAAGGAAGGCAGGGGCAATCACTGCTGCCTTCCGCTGGCTTGAAAATCAGCTGTACACACATGGCGTAAATGTAACCGACCCACAGAGTATGTTGAGAAATGTGGAGACAAACATGCTTCGTGCAGAGAGGCAAGCATTGCTTCAGCGGTCCCAGGTAGTTAGCGTCCTTTGAATATTTTCTCCAGGTCATGCTGGTGTATTGGGAACCAAGCAGGCAGATAGACTGGCTTGTTATGCATGACAAGCTAAATGTTGTGAGGGCCCTTTGGGAGTGAGTGAATAGTGCAGAGGCACAAATAGATAATCAGTCTGGGTAGAATGACACTGCGAGGAGATACCAGAGGATCTGGCTGACGCTCAGGGAAAAGGCAAGATGGATGTACATTCAGACAGTTACTGGTACTGTCGGAATTGGAACTCATCGCTTGCTGCTGAAGATGGGGACAGAGCGCTTTTGGGGGTGTCCCGAGTGCTATGATGTCGATACTTCATTCAACATTTAGCATTCTACTTATCAGATGACTATGACATGATTATGTTCAACGCATATAGTTGTGTGCAGTGCGGCCCGAACAAGTTTCAAATGAACGATCCTTTTATATATATATATATATATATATTTGAGCGGCAGGGGGATACAGTTAGAGAAAGCATTATACGGTGTATGGTTGTTCTTTTATTTTTATTTTATTGATAAATGTTTCTGGTGTATTGTCAGGTACCTGGAATGGCCCAATTGATAATTCGAAACTAGACGATGGCTGGGGCAACAGTGACATGGGTCAAGGGGATGGGTGGGACAATGGAATGGGGATGTCCCAGTCAAGTGGGGGCTATGCCTTACAGCAGGGACAAATGATATCAGGCATGGGGACCGGCACAGTGTTCATAGCTCAACCAGCTGTTCAGACACCTTCCTCGATGCACAACAACATGAATCGGCAGAGTGATGGGCGGTTCGGCATGGCTGCAGCTTCCGTTCGAAGGTATTAGTTGCACATGAGTCTCTGAATTGGAGACTTCAGTGAGTCTGTCATTTTCTGACATATTCGAATCATTGTGTTTTTTTTTTTTTTTTTTTTAATCGTGTTGTTTGTGTACAATAGGACATGTTTCATCGCCATAAAAAAAAAAGCTTTGTGGATTATATCAATGTTTTAATGAAATCTTAGGAGTGAAATGTGGCTGGGAGGTATCTGTGGTAATTTAGGCTCTGACTTCAGGTTCACTCCTGATATAGGGGCAGGACATTTGATAGCCAAGGATATATTCACTCACCTGATCTCCTCAGTAGTGAGATCACATACTTCCAATATGGGAAGACAACTGGAGGTCCCACATTCTGCATGGTTGAAAACCAATGGCAACTGGGAGCTGCAAAGAGTAGGATGTAGGATTTATGTCCTGGCACAACTTGTTTTGGGGAGGGGGGGGGGGGGAACTATCATAATATGTAGAGAGAACCTCTGTAATTTTAGATGTAATTTATTATGGAGAAAGTATTCCTTACCCACCAAACTTGGAGTGGAAAGCTTTCTGTAACAGGTAGAGAGAACCTCTATACTTAAGATGTAATTTATTGTAGGAAGGTAAACCTTGCACACAAAGCATAGAGCGGAAAACTTACTGTAACGAGTAGGAAACAAATAATTCTGACAGAATCTGTAATGGGAAACTTTCCTTGGGGGGAGAGAAAGTACCATAACTTTGGATGGAATTTGCTAAAATCAGACACTGACTGGTGATATCAGGCAGTGGCAGTGGTCATAGCTCAACCAGCCATTCAGACACCTCCCGCAATAATACACAACAACATGAATTGGCAGAGTAACAGGAGGGTCGGCATGGCTGCAGACTCCGTATGAAAGTGTTAGTTGCACCCGAGTCTCTAAATCGGGCTTGTCACATTCTGCCAGTAAATCAAACGTTTCGTGACCGACTGTTTATATTTTGTTTTATCATTTTGTCTGTGAACAATAGGACATGTTTCATTGGCCTAACTGCCCTGAAGAGAGAAACAAAAAAGAACTTAACCCAACTGAGAAAAGCATGTCTTTGATCATCTTTACTCTTAGATGGCACTATCATGATGTTTTTATCTTCTGCAATCATTCTAATGCTTGCAATTGTTTGGTGTTGTTGAAACGAATGCATCTTGAGTAGTTGGTAGTGTAGCATTTGTACCAGATTTAACCAGCTAATGGGTCAAGATCATTTGATTCACTTGATGGCTTTGTTTCGCTTGATTATTTGAGCTGGTTTGTTGTTGTTATGTGAGTTTTCAGAAATCTTTTTTGTTAATATTACATGGTTAATTTCAAATAAAGGCTCTTCTTTTTTTCTGAAATCCTATCAAAGTTGCCTGAAAACTTGGGGTAGAACCAGGTGTGATGATCTTTTCCTTCACAACTGCAGCAGAAAATTCTGTTTGTTTGTCCACTTCTGGACTTTGGTCTTGTTTCAGAACTCGAGTTGTGCACGCACATCTGTTTTACCGATCTGATTCATTTGTATGCTGACTTCAAAGGAAATACCCTTAACTAATCGCCTTTTAGGGAGCAGTGGATCTATTTCCTCCCCCCCCCCCTTTCCCCCAAGAAAAAAATTGGACATCTGAACCCACGCAAGGATTTGACAATGATTATACTTTTAAAAAAAAATTTTATGTCGGCATTTAGGCACAGTTCTTCAGCTCTTTCTTTATCAAGCAACGTTGGATATGTTTATTGTCCGTAATCATTCTGCATTTCTCAAATGTATCTTGCCCCATTTACTAATCAAATTAAAATAAGAACTACAGATTCTTTCTTTGATATTTCTTTAACATCTTCTGTTTCAAACATTAGTTGCTTAAACTTTACATTTGTGAACAACCCAGAACGATACCTTGAAACCTCGGAAGTTTCTGAGGATGGCCAGAATGAGAAATGCAGATGAAATTCGGATGATAGAGGCTAAGACTCATCAATTGGTCTGAACATCAGAAAGAGGCAGTCTGTTACAGAAGTCAAAACTTCCTATTCCATGCAGATTTGCTGGACTGATAGGCACGCGTCACTGTACTGGACTTTCATTCGCCGATGAATTTCTCCTCTAGGTTTCACGCCTTCTCTTATCAAAACACAGTTAACACAATGCTGCTGCTGCTCTTGATGCATGTTAAAAGTGGGTGGGATGGTATCTTTAAGCTGTCATGACCTCACTGTATTTGTCTGCACTGCAATGCCATGTGCTTGCACTCTTGACATCCTTAACAACAGTGTTGACAGGTTACAACACAGTGACATGATTACTGTAATTTCTTTCGAAATTTAAAGGTTTTCATTTGAAGCACCCTTATTTTTGGCAATGTTTTGAAAAGAAAGAAGCTTGAACATGTAACCCACTGGATGTATTTTTGGAGAGTTGAGTTAAGAATTAAACTTAACAGCAGCCAGCGGAGAGTTCCAATACTAATGGTACCTGTCGTAATCTGGTTATGTGTCCGTCTTGCCTTTTCCCTGAGTGTAGTGAGCTGGCCAGACCCCCTGGTTACACCCAGGTGCCTCATTCTCTCCAGGCCGTAATAATCTTGTTTTCCTTCTGACTCCGTTACTTGTTCCCAAAGGGCCCTGACTACATCTGCCTTGTCATGAGGAGTTGAGTCAAGAATTAACATCACAGCACGTGGGGCATTCCTGTGTGTGCTCCGTCCTCATCTTCAGCAGCCAGCGCAGAGTTCCAATACTGATGGTACCGGTCACAATCTGGTTATATGTCCGTCTTGCCTTTCCTCTGAGTGTAGTGAGCCGGCTAGACCCTCTGGTTACACCCAGGTGCCTTGTTCTATCCAGGCCATAATAATTTTGTTTCTCTACTGATTCTGTTGCTTGTTCCCAAAGGGCTTGACCCCTTCTGCCTTGTCATGTATCACTTCACCACCTAATGGTGCAGATCCAGCCAATCTGCATGCCTGTTCATTCCCCACCACACCAGCATGGCCTGGAGAAACGATCCAAAGTATGCTCACTACCCATGACCTTCCCAGTGAAGCTTGCCACGCTTCTCGAAGCATCCCTATCTTCACCTTTCTCAGCATGCTTTCAGAGTCTGTTAGAATTATGACATGTATATGCGTCTTGTTCTCTAGCCCCAAGAAAGCTGCAATTACTGCCTCCACCTCCATTCTCGTGCTAGACGTGGTAGTATCATATGCTAGGCTGTCCTGCACTAAAAATTTTCCATTAACTTTCACTACAAACCCCCAGACACTTCTCTTTCCTCTCAAGGCCGAACCATCTATATGGATAATCAGATTATCTGGGCGAAAATTTTACGTAAATCAAATTTTGGACTTCCACCTCCGTAGCACCTGCTGGCCACTCTCTGGACCAATGTGATCATAACCCTACACAGGTCAGACTTCTCCTCTTGTACTCTGACCCATTCCTCTCTTCGCCCTAGGTTCTCCATCATGCATATATGTCTTATTGTGTCTTCTGCTTGAGCCATCCACGATTTTTCCTTTTTCAGCCTCTGACTACCTTCAGTCTAAGCTTCATACAGAGGGTGTTCCCTGTCTGCAGCTACTGTGAGGTTTGACTTAGTCTGCAGCACCTTTAGCCTATCTGCAATAGTAGGCAATGCAAAGATGTATCGCGTACACATAATCGGGGTGTCTCTTGTATATCCGAGGATAGTTACATTCTGTATGCGCTCCAGTTTCTCTAGCTGACGCTTCTAGACAGTAAGGAACCCCAATCCATAATCAGTCACTGAGATGATTAAGTGTTGGTAAAGTGTGAACAGCATTCTCTGCACCATGTCCATTGCTACCATAATCTTTAGTGCTTTAAGACCTTTTTGAGCCTTTGTCACCCCTCTGTGTGATATTTGAAAGACCTAACTTCTGCCAAAAGTGATTCCCAGGTACCGCAGTCTGCTGTCTCTTTTGATGTCCTGCCATTTATTTTGACGCTTGAAAACATGAGCTCTAATAATCCTGTTGTCTAAAGAACACCACAGGACAGTTGCCTTTTCTAGGTTGATTACAGCAACCATTTCTGTACACCAGTTGATCACCTTATCTACTGTGGTCTGTAACTCTTGAGCTATTTGATTCCGATCTCTCCCCCTGGAGAGACTAAGACAAGAGACAATTCTTGACAGCCTTCTGTCCTGGCATGGAAGAGGGAGGGTTGGCGCACAAACTGATACATGCTGTTGGAGATCACAAGTTGCCCAGAAGCATGGTCTCCCATTACAGTTGGTTTGGCACTTGATGATGATGATAATTATCCCGTTTGTAGCTTTGACCGTTTAAACAGTTACTACTAAACTTTAAAGCCTCACTTGTCTTGACTAAACCAATGTAATGTAAACATTTTCAGTTTAAACAGTTACTACTAAACTTTAAAGCCTCACTTGTCTTGACTAAACCAATGTAATGTAAACATTTTCAGTTTAAACAGTTACTACTAAACTTTAAAGCCTCACTTGTCTTGACTAAACCAATGTAATGTCAACATTTTCAGTTGGTACACGGTACAGCATACATTTTTTTGGTTACAGTTAGACATGATGTGTATTTCCTTATGAAATACTGTAATAGCCGTATAAATGTTGATTCATCCCCTCATAGTATGCCTGTAGACCATGAATAAACTGATAGTTAGTTTCTGTGTATTTGATTGTTTGGAGAGAGCCTGTTGTGTTCTTATTTTATTTGTGTTTGTTCTTGGATTTCCTATACTTTTTTTTTTTTGGTAACTTTAAAAGTCACAGAATTTCATAATAGTTAAAATGCTTAGATGCTGAAAACATAAGGAGTATGATATTTGCATTATTTTAATTTTAAGCTTACATGTTGATTTCTTTTCTCTTGGTTTTTTTGTGTGGTAATTTCTGTAAAACGTTTTATTGAAATAAAAGAATATGTGAACTTATGACACCTCTGAGTTGTGTTCTTCTTCATGTTCAGTGACTGTAAACACAGGCAGAAAGTTCTGGTTGTTCGTCCACTTCTGGGCTTTAGTTTTTTTCTAGAACTTGAGTATTATGGGCACATCACTTTTATAGATCTTTTATAGAGCAAAATAAAGCTGGGCCTTAAATGTGGCCTAGCAGCTGTAGGGGTTTCAGAGACCTCTCCTTGGGTGATCCTCATTTGCATGGTGGCAATTTGTGTCACCGGGCGTTTATGATGTCCTGGTGGGGTAAAACTTACCTACATAGATCTAAGGTCTGGCACTGGCTTGATTTTCAAGGAAGCAGAACTGGTCCTGCAGTGGATACCAGCTGACGTTGGTATTCCAGGAAATGAGAGAGCAGATAAGCTGGCAAGCAAGAGCTGAGAGTAATCTTCCACACCCTCATCCACCACAGAGTTACAAAGAAACAACAGTTCTTAAGCAGTCAGTTATTCATGGGAAGAGTGGAGAAGGCAGAATAGAGACTACAGAGCGGAGACTGACAGCATAAACAAACAATAGAAAAGAACAAACATCAGTGCTAAGGTTTTGGACAGAACACTGCGATCTTGGAGCACATCTACCCAAGAATCTGCTGCTTGTGATCGTCGAGCAGACTGACTCCTGAGCATATACTGTAGGGTCTGGATGGCCCTAACTACTCCCGGCAAAGGTTGTAGATCTGGCCCAATAGAGCCACGCATCAAGAGAAGCTGTGGGAGGCTGGCAGTGACCTTAGACGCACCACCCTGTGACCTGACCCAGATAGGACTATGTTTAGCCCAGGTGATGTCAAAGATGATATATCTGCAGCAATGGACCTGAAGGGCTCAATGTTGACAGAAAATATTCGCCAGTGATTTCTGAAGTGAAAAGACAATATGCCACAGTTGACCTCTCACGACTTGCAGATTGCCTAGTAAAGTGCGGCTCTTACTTATGCCTTTTATGTATGCCATAAGAAGCTACTTAAAAGTAATGGTGTGATACCGACTACTTCATCCCTGCAAAAACTTTACCTGCAAAATCCAACCAATCATGAAGTCTGCAAAGACACTGGCATCAGGTGTTTGAGGGCCTCTACTCTTGTGCAGTGGTCTTCAACCTTTTTCAGCCCCCCCCTCCCCCCCCCCCAATATATGACAAGACACACCCCCTCCCCCTCCATGCACCCTCCCTAACTGTATAAATAAATGCACTTGTTATCCAATTAATTTTTAGGTAGATGTACAAACTGCCCATGAACACAAAAATGTTCTCAGCTTTTTTATTTTATAAATCATTTTAAAAACTATTTTATTTATAATAAAACTGAAAAAGAAATGTTATTATAACAGGTTATTATGAGTACAAATTTCTTGACACCCCACCCTTTGTCCCCCTCATAGGAATCTTTCCTTTCTGTAGACAACATTCTGCCTTTCAGTGTCAGGTTTTGTAGAGGCATCTAGTCTGATCTTAGAGGGTGAGCCAATAAATTCAGAAGAGGCAACTGATACGTGGTCCTTGAGAAGAATGTTGTGAATACCTTGGACTGCCAGAATAACTGACAATAATTGCCTAGGAATGGCTAATGAAAGTAGAACATTATATACAACATTGAGAAAAAGACAAAGTTCTTTGGTCATGTAATTAGAAAAGAAGCACTGGAGGATAGCGTGATGACTGGAAAGATCACTGGTAGAAGAGGCAGACCAAGAGAAATGATGGTGGATAGTTTAATACAGTGGCATGGAAGAATATCCTCAGTGGAATTGATCCAGAACACCAAAGACCGAGGTCTATGGGGATGCATGAATGCCTATGCCAACTAGCAAGGCACTTGATGATGATAATCTAGTGTGAGCCATGTTGTGTGCTGCGCAGATACAGGTATTCACAGTCTCCTTTTTTCCAGCGCTTGCATGTGGTGACCTCTATCTTTGTTTCTGTTGTGTCTTAAGTAGCAGGACTCGCTGTGGTGCACTGCCTTATAGTAGTAGTCCTGACAACTACTTGACCTGTTGTTTCTTGATGTCGTTTAGCGCTGGTTCTGTCCCAAATATTGTCATTTCTGAACCAGTCTCTTTTTGTAAAGTTTAGAATTCGTCATAGCTATTCCATTTCTGTTTTGACTTTTCTCCTTTCTTCTGTTGCAAATGTCCACATTTGGCACTAGTGACACAGTGTTGGCTAAAAATACTGTATTGAATAGTGGCCTTTCAATAATCAAATGTTTGTTCTGCAATATTGGTGACCACTGATTAGTGTTCAATGATTTGATCTGCTTATCACCTCAATATTTTTTTTCCATTTTATTTTTCTATTGGAATTATTATGCTTTCTAAGGTACTTATGTTTTTGCTTGCTTTAGTTATTTTCTCTTTGCATATCATGATTTGTTGTGTACTTGAATGGTCACAGCTCATAAGAATACCTGTCTAAATTAATTCTTCTTCTTCTTATCGGTGACCGGCTGTAAACTCCAGCAGAAATTTCTGCTTGTTCGTCTACTTCTTTCATTTTGTTCCAGAATTTGAGTTTTGTGTGCACATCCATTTTACAGATCTTTTATTTGTTACCAAGCTGTTGGTTTCTCACTTCTCAGGCAGATGCATCCGACTTTGAAGAACACCCCCCACCCCCCCCCCCCCCCTCCCCCCCACCCGAATTTGTCGCCTTGTACTATATGCCCCAAAACCCACACAGGGATAAAAGAATTCAAAAGAGGTACTGGGGCAGTGTCTCAAGCAGGTAAATTCAACAAACAATCCGGACAAGATACCAAACAATTATTTGCTAATAATATTTTCAAAATAGTCTAACAAGTTATCA